TACTGGATCGTACTACTATGATTTATCGGTTATCTGATATAGCAAGCAGCAAGTGTTCACATATGGCAAACTAAGCAATTCAAAGTAGAAGTAGACACAGTTATTATAAATGCTTTTTCAAGAAATTTGTTGTAAAAAAATGGAAAGCATGTAGAGAAATAGTCTGAAAAGAAAGAAAAGGAAACCAAAGGATTGTTGTTTTTTTTTGAACAGGGAAATCCTGATCCTCTTTAGAAGCTAGATCAGAAGATTGAGAGCACTCGTGACACAAGAAGAACACGTCAGTGGAGAAGCAAATAGACAGAGGAGGCGGCGAAGATGAGTGAGAACCTCAGTAATAGTTGAAGTCAACCCTAAAGTGGAGAAGGTGCTTGTAGTCCTCTGAAATAAAGGACCACGGAGTAAGGATAGTTCCAACATAAAGTAAGGAAGAGATGAAAGAACGTATGTATCTGAGGGATTGAATCATCTGTAATCTTTATTTTATCTACGAAGTAGAAAGCAGGGTTGGAAGTCAGGCGTGTAGGGACTTACTTCATTGTTACCATAAACTCACCACCCAAAATGAAAGCCAGGGCCTTGACAATGTACTTCATCTAACCATTAGGTCACTGCCAGTCCTTCTCTGTGCTTCCTTTCATTGTAGTAACTGTTATCCCAAATCTTATGTCCATCAATCTCTTTTCGTCTCTATTATATAGTTGTAGTAAATCTACAAGTGGTAATAAAATGCTCATTTTTATTTGAGTTTTTTAATCTAAAAAAGGAGTATCATGATATGTAATCCTTAGGACTCTTTTTTTTCACTTACTATTAGATTGCTGAGTTATCCTTCCTTGTTGTATGCCCTTCTGTTCCTTTGTTTCGACTGCTGTAGAAGGTCCCTTTGTGTGAATATTTATGCACTCCAATGCTGATGGGCATAAGTGTGGTTTCCAGAGTTTGCTTGTTTGTGAATAGTGCTGTTCTTGCATTTTACATGTATAAAGCCTTTTTTTGTATATGTTGCTTTTATAGTGAGAAAACAAAAAAGACCTTGTATTATATTTCTTTTGTGGTACCTGTGCAATAATTTTCTTGACTATGTTCTCTTTAGAATCAGAAAATAAAAACTTATTTTTAGTTTTCTTAAAGTTGAAAGAAAAAAGATGCAATGCCAGCAGCAGTTTCAGCATTACTGGCAAAATGACTGGTTAAAGAGAGACTGAAGAATGAAGACAGCCTGGCAAAATATTGGGGAGAGAAGAGAACAGCTTGAACCAGAGCAGTGATGGGGATTGTGCCATCATCCCAGAGCCCTAGACATCTGAGTCCGCTGGACACAAACAGCAGGGGTCTACACCAGACTCATGCACACATGTGTGCACCTTCATGAGGGGGAGTAGAAAGGAGAAACACACAACCTAAAAGCATGGAAAGGTTCAATAAATCACTGCTTTGATGCTAATGAAAGGCCACTGAAGGATATGGAAGGCACACTGCAAAGTTGAGTTCCCTCTAGATGGGAAGACATAAGGGGTGATATGGAGACTGGCAGCATTTACAGACCCATAGATATACTTTGTAATTTGGACAGAGGGCTAGACAGGGGGCCCTTGCTTCTAGGGTCAGTTACTGACACTGTCTATCGAGTTAGAATTTTGGAAACAGCAAATCCATGTGGGACAAAACAAACCCTCAAGCCTCAGAGTTCATTTAGTTGGTGAAGTTTGCAGGCATGGGAGGTCAGGAGACTTGCCCAGGGAATTCATTAAAATCTTATTTCCTGGAGCAGCATTTTCAGGGAAGATTTTGTCAGCTGAGGAGATGAGACCATATGGCTCCCCTAGGACAGGGTCCTAGCTTGCTGTTGCCCCAGGGACAGTGAGGCTGGGCACCACTGGGCCTCCTTAGGGCAGCTCCTCCCATAGCTTTTTATCCGAATCTCTGCAGTTCTCATCTTTGTTCATGGAACCCACCACCAGAATGGGAACATATGAAAATCTGAGAACCTCGAATCAAGAACTCAGCCAGAACTGCGCCGAGGCTGCGAGAGCTTTCTCACAGGGAGAGTAGAGGAGAGGAGTTTGCAGCGATTCTACACATTGCTTCCCCAGGTGCCTGCTCTGGGTTCTCAGCTGCCCGTCTGCACCCATCTCTACCCCCAGAGAGGACCTGCAATGCCAGTGACTGGAGGAGTCGCTGACCTCTGATCTCAGACACAGCCATACGCACACCTACACCCCACTCTTCCAGGAGAACCACTTCCTCTTTCTTTGTCTTCCTGAACATCTTCACCCCTCAAGTTAATCGCAGTGCAGTAAGTGTGGCCTGGCAGCTATGCCCTTGCTCCTCTGAGGTAAGGGCTCTGTCTCTGTTTCAATGAAATCATGTGCAGTCTGGAAGTCTTGAGAAACTGGGTCAAGACCTCACTGCTTTGCATCTCAGACTATCTGGTCCTTCAGGGTGTATACCATCCACTCCCTTCTACACTTTAGGCACCCTGTCCATGTGGGCACTCCCACAATCCATCTGTTCCACTGACCAGAACTTTTACCGGGTTCCCATACATCCCGGTAAAAGTCTCAGTACTTACCTTTGGACCTGGATTACCTTGGCCTCTAATAGTCTGAAGTGTACCCTTAAAAAGGGATCATCTATACAGCTGTAAATAACACTATAGTTTAATGAGCCCACCATTCTAAGTTTATTAAAGATTTTTCATTATAAAAATGGGGGGGGGGGAATCACCTAGAATCGGGTGATGTGCCTCTTCCCTATATGCCTGTGTGACACTAAAGCCCGAGTCACAGAAAAAAAGCCTATTGAAATAATGAAATTATTAAAATATAATGAGCAATGATACAAAAAAAATATGCTTACATTTTTTAGCTCAATATTGTGAATTGGCTGTATGTGATCATTTCCAATGAAATAAAACTCCTCTCTGTTAATATCAGCCTCTGCTGACTTGTCCCTGTCTGAGGTTCCCACTACCAGCTGTTTTCCAGACAGGGAGCTCTTCCTCTGTAGGCCCAGTGTATGTTCTCAGGCCTGTATTTTTAGATGGTCGTAAAGGAGAGGAACCAGAAAACAAGAAAGGAGAGAGAGCAGGGATCTGCAGCAAGGGGAGGAAGGCAGATAAGTAGGATGCAGAGTCCTAAGGATCATCACCTCACCTAAGCCCCTTTTGCTGCTCTTTAAAACCCTGTTCACACTCCTGGTGCAGAAATCAGGATAAAAGTGCCCACCTAATCATTTTCTTCCCTTTATTACTCTATCCACTTATCTTTTTAATACAGCAAAAGCAAAAGTATTTCAAGACAAATATTTACCAGGAGCAGTGCTAGCAATTGTCTTTGAATTTGTCTTTTTGTTGTTGACAATAGGCAAAGAAAGTCGTCCAACCAATATGTCTTAGTTTAAACCTGCAGTTTTGGCTCTGTGATGCAAAGGAAAGATGTCAGGCCTCAAGGATCAAAAAGACAGTGTCACAGAGGATGTTTCTCTGGCTGGCTTCTTGCCCAGACTTGATTGTAGCAAAACTATCAGGAGGATATTCTTGTATCATGATTCAGTGTCCTGACCTTCACCATGTTATTCCCTTTCTCTGTTACACCCTGGCCCTTTCTTTCTTAGCCACCTCCTATTCTTCTGCCTGTAGCTTATATCACTCCCTCAAGGAATCCTGTCCTGAAACCTCACTTGTATGGACTCGTCACTTGTATGTTATGTTTTCCTGCACATACTAATCATCACCGGTGGATGTGTGCTGGTGTTTGTCTAGCCATTTTTCACATCTATGCTATTTTCCTAGCATCAGTTATAGCACCTGATACATTACAGTTACTATGTAAATATTTATGGAATGAATGAAATAAGCTGGAACAGATGAGTCTTCCTATTATAGGATTTTATCATTCTACCAATTAAAGGTGCCAACTCTAAGTTGATCAGGATGATGACATAACAGAAGACAGGAAGATTAGGAGCAGATGATACAAGAAAAAAATGAAATATTTGGTCATAAATTCTTCTCTTCTCTTACAAATTCCTCCTAAGTCCTCCATCCAACTATGAAATATCTGCAATCACAAATAGAAAGCTAAGTGAACACTGTCCCACAGACCCCACACACTCCACTTTCTCTCCCCCTCAACCCCTTGCACCAGCACTATCGTATGGATTCGGGGTACAGTAGGATCAGCATCCCCCATCATATTGTCAGATTTGTAAGATAGAGGAATCTGATTTTCCTGATCAGAGTCTTGCTTTGACTCTCAGGTGACAGGATGGTTTGCGGCCTTCTCTATGAAATCTCCTCTTTTATAGCTCTCCCCTTCTATTATATGCCCTAAACACAAATACTTTTGCAACTTTCATCTATTACTTTTTCCCCTGAATCATTATCTGCAAATAGGTAATAACTTTTTATACTGTTTCTGCAGGGTTACTTCCAAAATTTATACCAGCCTGACCATTCAATTCAACCCAGATTCTTTTTCCCTCCAAAAGGGTAGCAGTGTGCTCACCAAAGATGTGAGAACAGTTCAAGAACACAAGAGATCAAGTTTTCCAAGAGCTGGGAGGTTCCTGTTCAGGAAGCTGTCAACAACTATGACACTGGAAAGTGAAGGAAGATGTCACATCTGAAGAGAAGATGTCACATCTGAGGAGAAGATGTCACAGCACTTTATTATAAGAAAATGTCAACATTGAATTGGAATCCCAAGTATATTTTAGGCAGAAAACCAGCTAGATTTTAAACCAATGCCCACTGTGTTTCTTTATTATGAAGATAGATATGTTTTATCTATCTACAAATATGCTTGCCTGGGTTCATACTTTTGGATATCCTATTTAAAGGGAATTCTAAATGATCAGCCATTAGCAATATGCTTTATCATATTCAGTAATAAGATTTAAAAAGTCTTAAGTCATAAGGCAGACATAGGTACAAAGAGGAAGAGATATATCTCACAAGATTCCCATTGGTCACCCCATAGTTACAGGAGACAATATAAAAATAGGGTGAACTCCCTGAGAAAGGGTTTCACTGAGAATCCATTTGGTTCTCAGCAAGTGAAGAAAATGGAGCACTGGAACTCCACCCTGGGAAGTGGCTTCATATTGATGGGGATTCTGAAGGACAGTGGGTCTCCTGGGCTGCTCTGCGCCACAATCACAGTTCTGTACATGTTGGCTCTGACCAGCAATGGCCTGCTGCTCCTGGTCATCACAATGGATGTCCAGCTCCACGTGCCCATGTACCTCCTGCTTGGGCAACTCTCACTCATGGACCTCCTCTTCACGTCTGTTGTCACCCCCAAGGCCCTCATGGATTTTCTTCCCAGTGAAAACACCATTTCCTTTGGGGGTTGTGCCCTTCAGATGTTTCTAGCACTGACTCTGGGTGCTGCAGAGGACCTCCTACTGGCCTTCATGGCCTATGACAGGTATGTGGCCATTTGTCATCCTCTGAACTACATGGTCCTCATGAATATGAGGGTCTGCTGGCTCATGGTGGCCACATCCTGGACCCTGGCATCCCTGAATGCTCTAGGACATACATTGTATACCATGCACTTCCCCTTCTGCATGTCCTGGAAAATAAATCACCTGCTTTGTGAGATCCCACCTCTGCTGAAGTTGGCCTGTGCAGATACTTCCAGATATGAGCTCATGGTGTATGTGACAGGGGTGACTTTCCTCTTGCTCCCTCTTTCTCTCATTGTGGCCTCCTACACACTAATTTTATTTACTGTGCTCCGNTTCCTGATACCCCCTCTTATTGCTATCCTTGCCTCTTACATACTAATCCTATTTACTGTGCTCCACATGCCCTCAAATGAGGGGAGGCAGAAAGCCCTAGTCACCTGTTCTTCCCACCTGACTGTGGTCGGGATGTTCTATGGAGCTGCCACGTTCATGTATGTTCTGCCCAGTTCCCTCCACAGCCCCAAACAGGACAACATCATCTCTGTTTTCTACACTATTGTCACTCCAGCCCTGAACCCCCTCATCTATAGCCTGAGGAATAAGGAGGTCATGGGGGCCTTGAGGAGAGTCCTGGGAAAATACATGCTGAGGACACACCCTACTCTCTAGGGAGGGATTGTCGTTTGTCTCTCTAACTTCCCTTATCCAATTCAAAGTGCCCTACACAGCCTTTTTTTTTTTTTTTTT